GTGTATGTATAATATATTCATATATATATATATATATATATATATATATATATATATATATATATATATATATATATATATGTGTGTGTGTGTGTATATATATGTATATATATGTATATATATATATATATATATATATATATATATATATATATATATATATATATATATATACGTATAGATACATATAGATACGTATAGATGGATAATAGATATTGTATATTATATATATACATATATATATATATATATATATATATATATATATATATATATATATATATATATATATATATATATACATGTATGGTTTCGCAAAAGCTTGTTTTTAACGCCGTCCTTCTGTCCTTCGCAGAGACTATTAGCAATCACAAAGCCGGAACTGGACTTGGAAGCCTTGAAAAACAAGTACACCAGCGCCAGCATGCAGGAGGCCACCGCCGTGTAGAGCCCCCGCCTGATAAGCCCGATAAATCCCACACACCTCCGCGATATCGCTGCTTAGTAGGGGGGACGACTGCGAGGGGGGTAGGGGGATGCACTTCTTATCATCCAGCTCCGCCTCCTTGTGGATTCTGCAAGCGTTCTTTGAGAGAGAGAGAGAGAGAAAGGGAGGAGAGTCTTCGTTCTTTCTTCGTTGTGGACTCGGCAGTGATAAGGGTGCTCCAGAATTTTGTCTGAATTACCGTTTTCTTTTTCTCTTCTTTTCTCGTTTTCTTTTTTGTTTTATCCAATTTGTACTCTTGTGCGTTGCACTTCTTTTCGCACTCTATTCGGTTATCTGTTTTGCTCCAGGGTCACACGCTGCCATTATCACTGTTTGTGCGGATGTCTGCAGGTTTCAAAGTGATCTGCACAAAAAAAGGTGACATGGAGTGTGCTGTTCCCTTGGACGGAGGATTTTCGGATACTGTAGGAATTGAGGATCACCCGTCAGCACCCACAAAAGCACACCCCACCCCTTCACCGACTCACTTGCACCACCCCTTCACCAAGACCCATAACCCCCCACCACCACGTCCTTCCCCTCCCTCCTGCTCCTCCTCCGTCCCCCCCTACTGGCGGCTTGTAAGGGCACGTTCCCCTCGAAGAAGCTGGAACCACCTCCGGACGCCGCTGTCGCCGTTCCGTTGCGCCGCTTCTCACCATGTTCTCCGAGGAGTAGACGAGGAACCAGCTTTACTCTCATCCTCGTGGGGATGGCAACAGCATCAGGAAAGGCAGCATCCCCACGCGTTGTCGGGGCGTAATCTTGTTGTTCGTTTCTGTTGTATTTTAATTTGTTTGTGTTCTCTCTGATGGGCATTATCCAGGTCCGGGGTAGGAGACTTCGGTTATATTTTATCATATGATAAGATTTTTGGTATCATCTTTTTTTTTAGCTTTGCATTTCCTGTTGTTGTTTTTTTTTAGTTATGATTAATATGTTTTTTTCTGTGTGAGAGATATGTGGTTGGTATATATATATATGAGCGTTTTGACGAAATATAACGAGAGTTAGGAGTTACTGATTATCTGTTGTTGCCATTACCTTGGGAGTTTTATCTAGCATTTTGAAGGCTGTAGATACAATAAACAAATTGTTGAATATTGTGGATAATTTATTTAGGACGCTGAGACAATATTAAAGCAAAAGTTGTATGCCCCCATGATGGTACTTTTGACCAAGGTACTACGCTGAGCAGGGGGTTATTGTTCTAACGCTGCAGAAATGCATTTTTTTCTTCAGATTATATCGATGTTTGTGAGATGGTTTGTCGGTCGCCGTCTGAGCGGCTGTTGTATTTTGATGTTAAATAATTATCAAGAATATCTATGTCAATTTGAATTTGTAAAGGGCTTCCACATTGTCTTCCAATTTAGGATACTTTTACATATCAAACGAGATAATCCTAGACATGAATGTAACTGAAATCTTATTTTAGTCACGCAGTTGTAGTCTGACCTGTTGGAACTGTTGAGGTAACTGTTTACCTTCTTTTGGGGCCAAGGCAATTAGTGCCGAATGGTTCTTCACTCGTTAAAACATAGTCTTTGACCTTGTAGCACCCGCGCGGCCCAGCGATAAGGTCAATCTATTGGTGTAGTAAGATGTGAATGACGACCTTATTAAAAAAAAAAAAGTTGTTTGTGGAGTTCAACACTTAGCATCGTTTTTCTTGTTGTTGGTCCTGTCTTCACTTTAGAACACAGTAGTTTGTATGCGAGCAATAACATCACCTCTTTTTAGCCGTTTGGTCTCCCTTAATCCCTCGCCCCCCCCCCACCCCCGCCCCCGCTCTTACCCCCCCTTCCCTCGCCCCTGTGTGCCCTCCTGTCTACCGGTTACCCCTTCTAAAACTCCCCGACGTTGTCAGTGGTCCATCGGAAACTTCTCGAACATTCTTTTTTTTCTAATTTGTCATCAGCAAATTTTGACTCAAAAATTACAACTTCAAAAAAAAAACAATCCGTGAGTCACAGTTACGGGAGTCTCCCACTTCCCCCCTCCCCTCCCTCC